GTTTAAAATTATGAAACGTACTGCAGAATATTTGCATAGTAGGTATATTCATTTTAAACCTTAGAGGATAATTTTTTTTGGGACGTTAACTGACATGAAGGCAGCTGTTGTATTTGAAGAGGTTTTTTGTATAAGCTAGCATTTTTCACTTTTCTGCTACTTTTGTATAGGTATCTTTATTGTAGAATACTAAGATTCCTATTGAATCCTTGTAGGACTTATCAGCAGTTGTCATAATCAACGTCGATATCGTAAGTGCTCTATAGATGAAGGAAAAATAACTCGCTAAAAAAACGCTAACCAGAAAAAATTATTCAAACCTTTTAAACTCTGCCTTGGGAGTCAGAAGATCTTCATTTAGAAGAATTATGACGCCTCATGATGAAAGCCGAATCCCTTCGGAAGTTATGAGGCCGATGCCCCTTCTGACAACCAGAGCGACCATTTATTTAGGTACATGGAATGTTCGTACAATGTGGGACACCGGGAGAGCCTTCCAGATTGCTGCAGAAATGAGAAGATACAACCTAGAGGTACTTGGGATCAGTGAAACACATTGGACACAAGTTGGACAACAACGACTAACTACAGGAGAGCTCCTGTTATACTCCGGCCACGAAGAAGAAAATGCACCACATACACAAGGAGTTGCATTGATGCTGTCCAAACAAGCACAAAATGCACTTATAGGATGGGAATCTCATGGACCAAGGATCATCAAAGCCTCCTTCAAAACAAAGAAAGAGGGCATTTCAATGAACATCATTCAATGCTATGCGCCTACCAACGACTACAATGAAGACGCGAAAGATCAATTCTACAATAGGCTGCAGTCAATCGTCGAGAAGTGCCCAACAAAGGACCTGACCATTCTGATGGGAGATTTCAACGCCAAGGTTGGAACGGACAACACTGGATATGAAGACATCATGGGACGACACGGACTGGGAGAAAGAAACGAAAATGGTGAGAGATTTGCAAATCTATGTGCCTTCAATAAGCTGGTCATAGGCGGCACCATATTCCCACATAAACGCATACACAAAACCACATGGACTTCACCGGATCACTCTACACAAAACCAAATCGACCATATTTGCATCAACAAAACGTTCAGGAGGACTATAGAGGACGTGAGAACCAAGAGAGGAGCTGATATAGCATCAGATCATCACTTACTGGTCGCCAAGATGAAATTGAAACTCAAGAAGCACTGGACAACGGGGCAGACAATATCACAAAAGTTCAATACGGCCTTTCTCCAGGATACTAATAAACTCAACGAATTCAAGATAGTCCTCAGCAACAAGTTCCAGGCCTTTCATGATCTACTCAATGGAGAAGGAACTACTGTGGAGAGCAACTGGAAGGGGATCAAAGAGGCAATCACTTCAACATGTCATGAGGTCCTGGGTCACAAGAAACACCACCACAAGGAATGGATCACTGTTGGTACATTGGACAAGATTCAAGAAAGGAGGAACAAGAAGGCAGAGATCAATACCAGCCGAACAAGAGCAGAAAAAGCCAAGGCACAAGCTGAATACACAGAAGTGAACAAACAAGTGAAGAGGAGCATCAGAACCGACAAACGTAAATATGTGGAAGATTTAGCAACGACGGCGGAAAAGGCTGCAAGAGAAGGAAACATGAGACAATTGTATGACGCGACAAAGAAACTCTCTGGAAATCGCCGCAAACCAGAACGACCAGTGAAAAGCAAGGAAGGCGAGGTAATCACCAACATTGAAGAGCAACAAAACAGGTGGGTAGAACACTTCAAAGAACTCTTGAATCGACCAGCCCCACTGAACCCACCCAACATCGAAGCAGCACCCACGGACCTCCCAATTAATGTTGGCCCACCAACAATTGAAGAAATCAGCATAGCCATCAGACAAATCAAGAGTGGCAAAGCAGCAGGACCGGACAACATCCCAGCAGAGGCACTAAAAGCAGACGTAGCGGCAACTGCACGGATACTCCACATTCTCTTCAATAAGATTTGGGATGGGGAACAAGTGCCAACAGACTGGAAAGAAGGACTACTGATCAAAATACCGAAGAAAGGCGATCTCAGCAAGTGTGATAACTACAGGGGCATCACTCTTCTCTCAATACCGGGAAAAGTCTTCAACAGAGTATTGTTAAACAGGATGAAGGACTGCGTAGACTCACAACTTCGTGACCAACAGGCAGGATTCCGTAAGGATAGATCGTGTACAGACCAAATCGCAACTCTACGGATCATTGTGGAACAATCAATTGAATGGAATTCATCACTCTACATCAACTTCATTGACTACGAAAAGGCATTTGATAGCGTGGACAGAACAACACTATGGAAACTTCTTCGACACTACGGCGTGCCTCAGAAGATAGTCAATATCATACAGAACTCATATGATGGATTACACTGCAAAATTGTGCATGGAGGACAGTTGACAAAGTCGTTCGAAGTGAAGACCGGTGTCAGGCAAGGTTGCTTACTCTCACCCTTTCTCTTTCTCCTGGTGATCGACTGGATCATGAAGACGTCAACGTCTGAAGGAAAGCGCGGGATACAATGGACATCTAAGATGCAGTTGGATGATCTAGACTTCGCAGACGATCTGGCCCTTCTATCCCAAACGCAACAACAGATGCAGGAGAAGACAAACAGTGTGGCAGCAGCCTCAGCAGCAGTAGGTCTCAATATACACAAAGGGAAAAGCAGGATTCTCCGATACAACACAGAATGCACCAATCCAATCACAATTGACGGAGAAGATTTGGAAGATGTAAAAACCTTTACGTATTTGGGCAGCATCATTGATGAACAGGGTGGATCTGATGCAGATGTGAGGGCGCGGATCGGCAAAGCAAGAACAGCATATTTACAACTGAAGAACATCTGGAACTCAAAGCAACTGTCAACCAACACCAAGGTCAGGATTTTCAATACAAATGTCAAGACAGTTCTACTGTATGGGGCAGAAACCTGGAGAACTACAAAAGCCATCATCCAGAAAATACAGGTGTTTATTAACAGTTGTCTACGCAAAATACTTCAGATCCATTGGCCGGACACTATTAGTAACAACGTACTGTGGGAGAGAACAAACCAGATCCCAGTGGAGGAAGAAATCAGGAAGAAGCGCTGGAAGTGGATAGGACACACATTGAGGAAAGCACCCAACTGCGTCACAAGACAAGCCCTCACATGGAATCCTGAAGGTCAAAGGAAAAGAGGAAGACCAAAGAACACATTACGCCGGGAATTGGAGATAGACATGAGAAAAATGAACAAGAATTGGATGGAACTAGAAAAGAAGGCCCAGGACAGAGTGGGTTGGAGAATGCTGATCAGCGGCCTATGCTCCATTGGGAGTAACAGGCGTAAGTAAGTAAGTTATCCTTTCAGAAGTTAATTTGTCGAAAATGTTCTTCAGCGCAGCTACCAAAAGCAGAGTATTTTAAAAACGGTTAAGTCATCTAATAACAAAACCTTTATGGAGAAAGCGTAAATACTTCACCATGTACTGTGAACATACATTAAGCTATTGAGGTAAAATTTTCAGTTGAGTTTGATTATATAATCATTACCTATTGTATACAAGTATTTAAAACACTTCTCATTAGTCCAAAAAACCTGTAAATATTATTTCTAGTTCAGCAAATCTAAAGATAAACAACTATTGTTTATTGCCCACTGCTGAGAAGTCCCACAGTGGGACGAAGCGGCCGTCCAATGATTCCAGGTTTTCCATGGTGGTCTAGCATCAACTGACTCATGATCTTAACCACTGAAATTACTATAATATCCACAAAACCTATATGATATTGTTTAATAGTTCAATTTTCGTTTGAATACAGTTTTGCTTGAATTCTAATCATGCTACATTCAATGTTTATTATTAGTAGTCTCAAAAGGTCTCAACTCAAACTATGTACATCTTTGTTTGTCCACGTTAATCACTGTGTTGTGAAAAAATAATTTACTTAGGTGAAGCTTTCGATGGGTACTTAAACTCACTATCCTTGTTTAAAATCTCATTTTAGTTTACTGTTCATAACGGATTTTAATCTTTTAAATGTGTACTTTTGTGGTAAGGGTTTTTGTAAATAATGTTCTTAATTGCATACGAAGATCAAAACACGTATTCTTTACATGAAATTGCACATACAGCTCATCAATAGATACTAACAAGTGTGAATACAAGAACTATGATGTACTATAAAATGATATTAATGATTTAACACAAAACAAAATGGATCCTCATTTTTCATTTCATCTTATCCTAAGGTGATCATACTGCAAAATCAACTTGAATGATATTACCCAAGATTGGAAATAAAACCATGTGCTCACTAGTGACTAGCTTCGTAAAAGAAGTCTCGAAGAAGCCGTGACCAGTAGAGCTAATCCTCGTCGGGTAGAGACAGGTATCTGTCTCAGTACAACAGTAGATGGTTACGCGATTTCGTGGATTGGTTAAGGTTAGACATTAACACCATTGGATGCCGGCTCATTGGTCTCGACTTTAAGCGTTCGCGCACAAGACCGAATCCTGCAAGTGGGATCGTGGATAAACACTAGTGAGGAGTTCCACAATTAAACGAAATGGCCGTCCAATGCTTTCAGGTTTTCAATAGTGATCTAACATCAATCGGTTTATGATCTCAATCTAAAACCAATGATTAACGATTAGATATTTCATTCTTAAATATAAACAGAATATGAAAACCTTCTAATGATGATATAGTTCACAGAAATGTATCAGTTCATTGAACTCAATTAACAACAATATTCATTGAGTATGTTTTTATTATTCAAAATGCAAACTCTATCATTTTAAGAATAAAAAGATTCACTTCAACTGTTTAACATATAACATAATTATGTCATAAGTTTATTGTTTATTGTACAATATAAATGATACATAAGTCCAAGAAATCTAAAGTCAATCTATGGATATAATGATAAACTGAATTTCTAATCTGTATTTATTCAAAGTACTTTATGGATAAACAAAAGTTGTTTTACGTGGAATTATTTCTAATGATGAAAATCCTGACAGAATGAACTATGAAAAGAAGAAGAGAAAAAGAAAAAACAAACAGAAGAACAACAGTTAACGATTAATTTCCATTTCTTTTATTTCAATTAGTAAAAAGGTATTGATAATAAACTAATCTAGTGGTTAAGTGCTTGCGCGTGAGGCCAGTAAGTCCTGGGTTCGAGTCTCGCGAGGCGTAGTCATGAATGCGCATTGCCACGTAGGAGTCTCATAATAGGACGAAATGGCCGTTCAGTGCTTCTAGGTTTTCCATGGTGGTCTAGCTTCAATTGACTCATAATCTCGACTATTAAAAAAACTAATCTCAGTTGAGATACTATTTAGTTGCCAAAACGAACGTCATTAAAGATAAACTCATCAGTTTACTAGTGACTTAGTTCAAGATGAGTTCCCGAAGTTATGATAGAATGAGTTCAGACATATCTCAGTTGAAAAACATTTATCACCAATATTATTGAATAATCGTCGTGCTTAATTGTGAATTGATTGAAGTCGAAAATGTTTACCGTCCAACAATAAATGTAACGGTTCTAATTGTTACGCTCTCGCTTCGAGATATGAAGGTAATGTGATCTATCCTTGTGGAGGTTTTGAGTTTCACACTAGAATGAAACAACTGTCTAGTGCTTCTTGATTCACAAATGTTTTTTTTTAACTAAACTAGATTCATTATGAATACATTCTATAAAAGTAATGTTTCTGTACTGTAACCAACTTAAAAAATATTTGCTGGGAAATCTGTCTAATAAGTAAACAAATTTTCAATCTTATGGAATAATTCATTCCAGAATAATAGATTAGAACAATAAACTCTTCTATATTTACACTGATACTGTGACAAATAATAATTCCTGAACTTTTTAGTGTTATCTTATCATATGACTACATAGTTATACAGATTATAAACAGTATGACTGTTATTATTAGAATAGGGGTTTGTGGAGATTGTAGTGATTCTCAATAAATGAATTCATTAGTCGATTTAAGCTAGACCATAATTGGAAACCTGAAAGCATTGGATGGCCGTTTCCTCAGCAGTGCACATCCACGATCTTGCACGGGGGACTCGAACCCAGAATCATCGGTTTCGCATGCGAACATTTAACATCTAGAATACTGAAACCGTATCCACCTGTAATGCACTTGATATTGTTTTACTTGAATCTTCCCATTGATGTTTTTAGGACTGAAATTGATCAGTCTCTAGTTGGCATATGTGCAAACTATGCGTATGCCTCGATATTGCCAGCTGACGAGTCCCAAACAAGACGAAACGCGCGTCTTGGATTCCACTGCTAGCCACTATCCATCTTTGCTTAGTATCCAACTGTGTTTATATCTAACTTCAAACGATTCATGGTCTTACGCAACCATATGACAGTTGAACACTTGATTACATAAAGATTCATTTGAATTATTTTATTATTACTTACCAATATTCCAATTTTACCAACTATAACTAATATCATAGCATGTCGAATAAGTAGAATTAAATCATTTAATTTATTCCAACAACCAATTTGAATAAAGCTATTTGATTCAGCAAAGTAATTTGGACATGAAGAATATCTTAAAGAGAATTTCGAATCCAATTGACAACATGAGATTGGATACTGAATGTCTACATTAATAAACCAAAAATGGATCATTCAAGTAATTGATCAACATTTATGCAATCAGTAACATAGAAATTAATCAATTAATTAATTTTGAATACTGGTTATTCAAATACAGTAACTTAGTGAACAATGCGTTTGAATCTGAATTTGAACATTAACAATGGTATTGTTTGTGTGAGCTACTTATATCTACATAAGTAGTATATGACGGTGGTCAGGCATAGAATGTATTTCAGTAGAAGATCGATAAGGAAAGAATGGAAACGGAACGCAATTGGTATGAAAAAGCATGAACAATGAAATCAGAGACAGTGGACTGATATTTGCAAAGGAACAGTCAAATTTGTGACGATGGATTGATATTTTGCAAATTAACTATTTACTATATGATTCTCAGATTTTAATGAGATGTTCTGTAATTTTATGCTCAAATACATTCGGTTGTCCTCACCTGTCTTCCCCTTCACTACAGGACGAAGATACATCTAGTTAATGAGTTTTAAATAGGACAAAACGCGATTCTTGGATTTCACTACTAATCATAATATAATTAACTTCATTAGTTATTACGTTTAGATATCTTCCGTTCTGCTTTTGATTAACATTTTACGACACAAGACGACTTCTTTTTTAAAGCAATTAGTCCGTTTTATAATGTTCGATAGAACAATGAGAAGACGGAGTTAATCTGATAAATGTGATATATTTGTACCATACATTTCGAACAATCTGGTCACACATATACTTGTCAGGGCATTTTTATATGAAAATTAATAAAGGTCAAACAAATAAAAGTTCAATTAAAATAACTAATGCGAGAGAAAGAATAAGAAATTGTCGCGTTATCCTAGGCCATAGAATGACTTAAGGATTACCAAGGTAGATTCAAGATTACGACAAATTGTTTTACACATAAAGGGGGTTTACATTTACGAATAGCCAAGGCTTCAATAAACTTAAGAATTCGACCTTGGCAATTTTTATACAACGTTCTAAATGCTGTATTAATGTCAATTTTGTGCCCCGTTTCAATTATATGTTTCGCTATCGATGAACTTGGTTTTCTACCTCCTACATTGATCGGATCATTTGACTCACATTGATTTTGAAGACATCTAGGCACATGTTCATTGACTCTTGATTGCATTGTTCGATTACTCCTCCCTATGTATGTGTGTCCACACAAACATGTAAATTGGTAAATACAGTGGGATGTGACGTAATCATTAGTGCATTGTTTGGGTCTATTAGGAATCATGGGCTTACATTTTGCAATCACAACCAGTTGAGCAGCATAATAGGTATTCTCGATGGCTGCTTTCAATCTCTGTCTTAAAACTATGCTGTTGGATTCGCCTCTCTATGGTAGATTGATATAAACTTTTTTCTTTGGAACTAAATGAACCAGAGGTCTTGGCATTAACTGACTTTTGCACCTTTTTTAAAAATCAATTTTAGGGATTTCTGGAAATTGTAATGCTTCTATGTTTTCAATGGTGGTCTAGATTAGATTGACTTGTGAATTCCACTACATTTTTTCTTATCAACACATACATTAATGGGCTCAATATACTAGTTTCTTTTCCAACTGGATTTTAATAAAAGCAACACCATATACGTATCAATGACTTCAAGTGGAGCCATTTGAGCAAAGTAGTCACTAAATAACTTACATCCTCACTGTAAACAAAATGACCATCTGAACATGATTGAATAAAGGTGTAGTAATGAATTGTCTCACTTATTTCCTTTAAAAAATGCCTGAACCAGATGATCGTCGAAAGAAACGATGAGTTGATTTGAACTCAGTCTCTTGGATACGATGATTTTCATATTTTGGTCAATAATTTAAAATTTAATTGTCTTAATATTAAACGTATAAATACACAGTAAGCATATTTTATTGTTACAAATTTTCATTTACCTTTATAGTTTACAACTGGTAAAGGTAAAAACTATCAATCTTTCTACAAAGAAAACTAATATACTTGTAATATCCCAATAAGTAGGACAATTAGATGTTCTGACATTTCGTGACTCAGTGTAAGCCATTTTCTTCAGAGAATAAATAACCAAATCATACTTAATCCAAGTTTAAATAGCAAAGAAGAACAGAAACACCGTGCACATATACACACAACTGTACATAAATGTCGCTTACAAATCACCTTGACCGAAATGACAACATTGATTTGTTCAGACCTGCTTTTTGAATGATCGCATATGATATTCTTACGTCGTTTCTTTGTACTATTTAAACTTGGATTAAGATCGATCTGGTTATTTATTTATTCTCTGAAGAAGTGGCTTACACTGAGTCACGAAACGTCAGAAAATCTAATTTTTCTACTCATTGGGATATTAAAAATATATTAGTTTTGTTTATAACAATCTACCCAATCCTCGATTAATTCGAAATTATCAAGTCAAATTTTGGGAATGATACCTATCAATCTATATATCTATTTTCGTCCAAGATATCTAACATGGTGAACATCATAGACTTGATAATATTTTCTCGTCTCTTAGCGTAGTTCAGTTTCACAGTTTGTGTCATTGACTAACTTCTTCTAGAGTATTTAAATCAATTAGTCCCTTTAATAGAAATTTCGATAATGTAGTAATATGGAAGAAGATTATCAGAAGATTTGGTTTGATTTACAGTTAATGTGGAGGCCTCATCTACGAAAGCCATCATCCAGAAGATACAGGTGTTTATTAACAATTGTCTACGCAAAATACTTCGGATCCGTTGGCCGGACACTATTAGCAACAACCAACTGTGGGAAAGAACAAACCAGATCCCAGTGGAGGTAGAAATTAGGAAGAAATGCTGGAAGTGGATAGGACACACATTGATGAAAGCACCCAACGGCGTCACAAGACAAGCCCTCACATGGAATCCTCAGGGTCAAAGGAAAGGAGGAAGACCAAAGAACGCATTACGCCGAGAAATGGAGATAGACATGAGAAAAATGAACAAGAATTGGAGTCAAACTATGATAATGATAATGATATCAATCTATATATCTATCTTCGCTCAATATACCTAACGAATATAATGCCTTAAAGATGGTGAACATCATAGACTTAATAATATTTTCTCGTCTCTTAGCATAGTTCAGTTTCACAGTTTGTGTCATTGACTAACTTCATCTTGGTATTTAAATCAATTAGTCTTTTTAATAAATTTCGATAATGTAATAACGTGAAGATTATCAGAACTATGCGATATATTAGCACAGTGCAATTCAAACAATCCGATCATACCTATATATATATATATATATATATATATATATATGAGATCAACTAGATAAATGAAAAGTAAAAGGGGCCAAGGTTAATAGGGAAAAATAATATGAAAAATAATGTGAAACGTACCATGTTGGATTATATGCTAATATTACCAGGGTAGGTTTAAGTTGAGAACAAACTGTTTTTGAATACTGTTATATCTAAATATTTTTAACAAGTTTATGCGTGATCAGATTATTTGAAATGTATTGAGCTAATATAGTTAAGTGGATAACGCGATGGTGTTTGAAGCGAACAGTACTGGGTTCGAGCCTCAGAGTTAACATCAACTCTGAGACGCAGGTACATCAAGCTGATGAGTCCCGAACAGGACGAAACGCGTGGCAAACTGGATTCCATAGCTAACCACCATCCATCTTTGCTTAGAGAATCTTATCATTATTATTATTACACTATTCAATTTTATTTAGATAGCCATTTCAAATCAGATAGCACTTAGCAATTATTTAGTTTTATCATGTAACTCTTTATCAATGTACAACTGTGTTGTATCCCGATAAGAATAATGAATGGTAGTTTTTGGGATCCATTTATGGACAAATACTATGAGTGTATTTTTATCGTGTAATTGTTATGTAACTAAACTGTTCATATTCATGCCCCTCTTATTATGAGCTTTATGTTGACCTATGAACTATTATTATACGATTTACCATTCTTGAGTTATCCCCAGTTTATTAATTACTACCTCCCACATTCACAGCCACTTTTTGACTAGAGCTTGTACAAATGTTGTTTCATATTTAATTGATACGTTGTGGTCGGTTTGATTGGTATATAAACTCAGTATGCTTGAAATATAGTGATTCATATCTCAGAGGCTGAGACTTGGGTTGTGGACTGAACTGGCTGGGCTAGACAGGGAAGCAGGGCCAATCGGGACTCTAGATCGTTCTTACGTGTTTTACGCGTCTTTGGTCCGATCGATAATTCGCTGTCGTCTAATCTGCAGTCACGAGTTATAACAAATTGTTCAAAAATTCTTGATCTTTCACACAGTTATCTGACTAATGTTAGTCAATTTGTAAAATTAACAATCATTAAATAAGAGAACAAAATAATCTAAATATTTTAGTTAATTTACCTGGATATTCCATATTCTGATAAAATTCATTACGAACAAATCGTGATTTTTCAAAATCTTCACCATTAAAGTAACCACAGCATGAAAGCTGAAATTTTGTGAATCCAAATAAAAAAGTATTGAATCATTTAAACAAAATTATCCTATTAAACAATTGTAACTCATTAATATAGATGATTGCAATGATGACACAATGGAAGATAAATAATTTGATTTGTTTACAACTTCAAAGTAGTTTTTGGTTGAGATCATGAATTAATTGATGTTAGACCACCGTTGGAAACCTGGAAGCACTGGACGGCCGTTTCGTCCTAGTATGGGACTCAGTGATCTAGTTGGTTAAGCGCCTGGCGCGAGACCGATAGTTCCTTGGTTCGCTAATTCATGTCAACCAAAAACTTAACAATCTCCACAACCCCCATACTGATAATTAATATGTGCTCACTAGTGACTAGCTTCGTGAGGGAATTCTCGGAGTTCTAGTGAGAAGTCGTGACCAGTGGAGCTAATTTTTGTCGGGTAGAGACAGGTATCTACCTCAGTACAATGGAAGGTGGTCGCGCAATTTCGTGGATTGGTTGATGTTAGACACTAACACCGTTGGATGCCGGCTCAGTGGTCTAATGGTTAAGTGCTCAGGCGCGAAGCCAGTAGGTCCTGGGTTCGAATCCCGCGGGGTGCGGGATCGTGGATGCGCACTGCTGGGGAGTCCCGTACTAGGACGAAACGGCCGTCCAGTGCTTCCAGGTTTCCAACGGTGGTCTAACATCAATTAATTCATGATCTCAACCAAAAACTTAACAATCTCCACAGCCCCCATACTGATAATTCAAAGTAGTTGTTTACTTCATAAATCATTGTTACTTGAGACTATTTTTTTAGAATGTTTTCCTTATACAGTTATAGCATCAGATGTGTACATAAAACTTTAGCTATGAAAAACTATCCTAAACTTCAGAACTATAATTTACGAAACATTTTCGATACTTATTATGTTTAATTGATTAGTAGAAAGGAGGTTTAGTGGGGCCCTTTATTTGGCTCGGATGATATTTGTCGACGGGCTCTTCACTTTAGTGACCCAGGATCTGACTCTAATTAGATCGTATCGATGATTGTTATTAAATGGTTGCTGACGAAATGTACATGTCGCCTATCCTCGTTTATAATCATCGACTTAAATCGCGTTAGTCAATAACGGAATTAAATAAGTCAAATAACGAGAATGGACATTTGAATACATGTATTTTGTATATGAAGCAAATGCAATAGAGCGAAGCGAAACGACATGCAGTGCAGATGGCGGATAAGCCAACTTCTTCTAGTCAAGCGTTAATCAATATTCATAGTCACACAAGAATGGGCTACAGAAATGTGATGAATAGGATAAGAAGTGTACACATATACGCTCATATAAAAACAATCAAGAAGCGGTTGATGTTAGACAACTATTGAAAACCTGGATGCACTTGACGGCCGTTTTGTCCTATTGTGAGACTCATCAGCATTGCGCATCCACGATTCCGCTCGCAGGATCTATCGGTTCATGACCCCAATTAAAAACTTAATAATCTTCACAACCCCTATACTGATAAAAACAATCAAGACTGATAAGCGAATAATTAACAAGGTCAAAATATGACTCAAGTAGAATCAATAGATTGGGCTGTCCGAAAGCTAGAATGAAATATATGGGCTGACATAATAACCGGCACTACAGAAGCCTCTATTTAACTAGAGTTATAGATGAAACAGCTCCATTTGTGTCATATGGCCAAGGTACAGGAATTTCATTATGATTGAGTGCAAATATACTTGTTATATTATAAAAACGAATAATCAATAGTTCACTCTACACTTTTTACTACAAAATAAGTATTGGTAAGAAAGTGGGATATGGTCAGGAATTTTACTCAGTTAGGAATACACACCTTATGTTTGGGAAGTCAACTGGGAATGGAACAAGATAAATTGTATAGAAATCTGGTTTTTCAGAACAATAATAATTCTGTTATTTATGCTACTTATGTTTGCAGATATAAGTAGTATGAAATACCAGTTTGATATGGAATGCCTGTGATAGAAGGTAAAGAAGATCTAAATGAAGAGAATAGAGAAGGAGACTGAAAGCAATGAAAATAACAACAGGAATGAAGAAACAATGAAGCTTGTAAGAGTCTACTTAAAGATGTGCACATGACGTGTTTAATGTATGGTTTTCACATTTTACAAAACTACTGTGTAATAACGTATATCTTGGAGAAAACCTTTGGGTGAGTAATTCAGTTATTCATTACCCCTACTATAATTCTGCATTAACCTGATTAACTATGTTTATTTTTCGCCCTGTATCTTCAGTAATTTTTGTAATTTTTGTCAGGTCAAATGATTCCCATCAATGGGATCATACATTTCACGCTTTTTTTTATCTTGCTGAATATCATTAAAAGAAGCTATAACGAGGTGCTTACAAATCTTTTAATAAAGGATATACTTATGAGCAGAAAGTGTTTATAATGTGAGACCGTTTTAGACTACAATTAATTAAAATGGGAAGAAATCATTCGAAGCATCACTAAGGATACATCGATACCAAACTGCTTGAATTATGTTTATGATTGTTAAGTATAATAATATACATGTTAAAAAGGTTTAACTTAAATTTCAGGAGGTACGACTATGAAAATAACATTTAAATACTAACCATGTAATATATGTTACTTATGTTGACAGACATAAGTAGTGTGTAACATCATTCGGAAGTTTAAACATTAACAGCAGAACGTTATGAAGATCAATTTGAAGAGAATAGAAACGGAAATAGAAAGGAATTGCGAATGAAAAGAATCATACAAAATATGAAGAATTAATGTTGGAAATTTGAAAAGGAAGTATTTAATATATGGGTTTTTGAGAAAAGACTTTGTTGTATTGCGGAGAGTGCTAAAGGCAGTTAACCAACGTTAGTGGTGAATCTTTCGAGGTTTCAATTAAAATGGTTGTGGATAGACATTTAAAGTCATGCAAACTCCTGGCAGGTGTTATTTTATGAGCCACTAACCATCCCCTTCACTCTTATCTTTCTCCTTGTATATCTTCTGGTAGAACGAGACGTAATTACATTAAAATCCATGCACGCAAGCAAAAGTATAAAAGTTCTATAATACCTTACCTAGCAAATATACTCTGTGACGAACAGATTATTAGAGTTAACCTAGTCAATAACCTGCATTCTTAACATGTCTCTAATTTGAAAAGTTGTGCAGTTTTTCAGATTCTTTAAACCTTTTTTCCCCTTTTTTGTCTTTGTTTCTGTTTTTTGTATAAGAAACATGTTGAAATACCCTGTGCTGGGTATTCTATATTGTACCAAAACTATAATATTGAATAAAGCCATTAACAATAATAATAATAATAACAATAATGGTAATGGTTCTCATATTTTACAAAGATATTCTGTAATTTTGTATTCAAATACATCGGTTGTCTCCCCCCCCCTTGTGTTAAAGGTTGTCAACGTTTTAAAATACAGTTTCCTATTTTAAATTTAAAGTGATAGTTTGTGAATTCCATTTGTGTTAAGAACAAAGATACACACGGATACGTGCAAAGGATTAAAAACGTGTACTTTAAATTCTATTGATCACTATCAACTAACTATAATGTTAAGTTACAATCAAAAATGACATTTCATCATGTGTGTATATAAGTGAGAATATTCCCAGTTGTAGATTGATTTTATTACAGAATATTATAAATTATAACAAAATTAAAATCAGGAGCATTGGATAAATTATCTTTATAGTATGAAACTCTGAAATAGTTCCCAGTTTAATATCGCTCCGAAGATGGAATCAAAGACCTTCAGTTCTCGTAGTATACTCTCATTTCTTAGATCCTTGAGTAAGAATCTAAAATTTTCGTTCCCAGTATCATTCAACTGGTGATTTGGTACGATAATCTTCCAATATTATCTGTGCTGTCAGCCCAATTCTTACATGACCGAACTTCACTGATCACTACTCTCCATGAGAATCTCGTATATTAGTGTATTATATCAATACTTAAAGAGAATCACCTATAAATAGGCGACATTTCAGCCCAATTTATGTTGTTCACTTCTAACAGAATAACTACTGAAAATTTTAAATTTCAATAAAAATTACGATTTCCAGTCAAAGCAATTAGAGATAAGAAAGGTTGCACAAACTTCACTGAATAAGTTCAGAATTAAGTAAATCATAATTTGAATAGTGCATTTGAATAGTTTAACTGTTCAGTCACTGTTCCATATCATTTCACAGCAATTCATATCATTTGTATATGCAAAACGTAGACACTGTAATACAAATAAATGTGATAAAATATACTTACCAAAGGCATTAAAGTTGCTAAAATCACACTATCCGCTTCATTAGACGCCACAGAATGATAATTAGCAATTAATAACTTCAGTTGGTTTTTAATAGGAATGTTTATCTAACAAGAATATGATGAAATTGATTGAAAATGATTTCACAAGTATCTGTTACTTATAGATAAAACTTGTAAAACTATCGGTAAAACGTGTTGTGGAGATTTCTGAATTCAAAGTTTAGTATCACATACTGGGTTTGGTTAAAGAACTAGTGAATAGCAGGAGGCACTTGATAACTGTCACACTCTAGTATAAGATTCCTCAGTAGTGCACATGTACGACTACAGAGACGTCAAAAGCTAGGGCCTTCAGGCATCATGATAAGTGTCATATCGTCAGACTACTGAGTCGGTATTTATTATTTTACCAATGAACATGAACAATCGTCATTGTGCAAGTCTTTCTAATATTTAACATGGCTTAAGTCCATTGGTAATGGGCTCTTACTAGAATCTCGGACGCTGTTGCAGGCCTGAAGACGAGGTGCTATTTGGGAGGGTCTAGTACGGAGAAGTCACGTCGACTGGAGCGCTCTAGAAGGGCGGCGTTGATTGTAGAGGGTGCAGTCGATGGTGAGTAGCAGTGGGACGGACATCGGAAGTGGATGGCTCAGTAGGTCTCCGGAGTGCAGGCTCTGAACGCCTCAGGTGCTGGGTGTACTTCGAATTGCGATGGTCCGGAAGGTCGACGGAGCTATGAAGGTCAAGGCGCCACAGTTTCTACATTTTGAAGGAGAGCGTGGCACAGACTGCAGGAAAGAAGGAAGTGTTGCGGCGGACAGAACCACCATAATAACGATTGGTTAAATGGGGATGAGTGTGGTGTGTTCCACTGATGTCGAAAGATATAAAAAGTATGTATCATCATTCTTAGGTGAAATGCCTGACAGCAGAAGGTTAAGAAGATCGGAGAAAAGAGAACGAGACCAAAGAATGATTGGTATGGAGACGAGAGAACAATGAAGTCTGAGACAATTGATTGACATTTTGCATATAAAGTATTCAGTGTATAGTTCTCAAATTTAGATGTTCTGTAATTTTGTTTTCAAATACAGTCGATTGTTCCCACTGGTGTTCCCGTTTACTACATTATCTTTTCAGTATTGACTTGTATTTTGATGAAGATTGACAGAATTTGTTAAACAAAGTTCTTAAATGATTTCTAGTATATCGAGAAAATATTATTTGTAAACTGTTTGTCAAAATTGACTGGAATCTGTTCACCAGTTAGATTTTACTGTTTGACTGATTAAGAGACGACTAGATTTTAAGAAAAAATAATATCAAGGATTTTCTTTCAGATAATATACTTATCCATAATTTTACTTGCTCTTATGGAACTGGTCATGTCTGCCAAACAAATAGAGCTTTCTAAAAATGCATCTGTTGATCACTTTATAAACTCTGGCTCCGTCGCCTAACCTGTATCCTACTCCAAAGTTATGAAAAACGTCAAACAAAGTGTTTCGAAAAGATTACAAACCAAAAACTTATATAAAACAGTGGTTTTAGCAATTTATTGATTCTAGGCTAATCTCTGTGTTCAAAGGTAACATGTCTAGATTGTAATCTTATCGCTTTGTTTCCTCTATGATTCTATGGATTTTTTTCATTTATTTAAAACTTTTTTCACTGATTAAAATTGTAAGTCAATCGAAGCTAGACCATCATGGAAAACCTGGAAGCACTGGACGGCCGTTTCGTCCTAGTATGGGACTCAGTGATCTAGTTGGTTAAGCGCCTGGCGCGAGACCGATAGGTCCTGGGTTCGCATCTCGCGGAGTACGGGATCGTGGGTGCGCAATGCTGAGGAGTTTGGCTTCTTTTAATTACTCACATATACCTTAACAAGTAAATGCATATTCAGATTGTTCTGAACGTATTGGAATAATATAGCACATTGTTTTCTTGTAGTGAACGAATGTAGTTGAACATAAGCTTACAGAACATCTTTGTACAATCTGAGAACTATACAATGAATACTTAATTTGCAAAATGTCAGTCAATCGTCTCAGACTTCATTGTTCTTGAATTTCCGTACCAATTATTATATGTTCCCGTTCTTTCCTTCTCGATTTTCTTGACTTTCTACTGTCAGACATTCTAATCTTGACTGGCGTTATATACTACTTACGTCGATATAAGTAGAACACACCACATTTTCATTGCATTATCTAAATCATTCTTTTTTTTCTTATTTGAGGTAAATAGTTTGAAATAACCAATCTCATGATTATTCAGCTTTCTTATATTCACAATCATTTTGTTTTCTATTTCTTAAAATGCATTCGTCATACATACTCATTTGAATGTTGGGTCGACTTTAAAAAAAACATAAATTGAGATTAGATGGTGGTTGGAGGTAGTCAACAGGAAACCCTGGACCTGGGTTTCATGCTACTTGGCACTCGACAGCAAGGTGTACCTGTAATCGTGTGGGAACTGGTGCTCCCTGGCAGATTTAAACTCGTGTCACCCAGCTTCACAGTCAGAGACGTTACCACTGAGCTATCCGAGCCTCGACCGACCTCCTGTAGGACTGAGATGTAATCACAACTGATTGACCACTGGGTGATGATCAATGTCATGTGTGTCAAGTCCTTATTTAGTGCAGGTACACCTTGCTGACGAAGGCGAAGTAGCACGAAACCCGGGTCTAGGGTTTCCTGTCGAATACCTCCAACCACCATCTAATCTCAGTAATATAGTGCACGCAGTGTCGAGTCACCTAGACGTGTGGCCACATCGCAACATGGTCGATAGCATTCGATCTGCACTAAATAAAGACTTGACACACATGACATTGATCACCACCCAGTGATTAATCAAATATAAAAATAACATATACTTCAGTTAACGAGTCAACTGAACTTTAAAAAAGCAGAGTATATCAGAAGAAACACGATTTAACATTTCAAACAACCAAATAGCTGATTGTTATGTATTATCTTTTTATGGTTACTTTAGCACTTTTGTTTAGGTCATTAACAGAGTGAGTAAAACAATTATATCACTGAACTATTCTATTCTATGATTAACTGAAAACTGAAATTGTATTTGTTATAAATTATTCAAACTCAGCAAACTAATTACAATAATGTCATGCTGTGATCAATTGGATATGAGTTCACTAATGGATTGTCTTTTCGATTATGAAGTACTTACTATCTGATGAAGTTCTGTTGTTTTAAGTTTAGCATAGATAATGCACAATTTTAAAGTTAATAAATGATGAACGTTTGCATAGTACAATGCTGAAATTTCGGATATAGGGTATTAAGATGTAGTTTAAATCAAGAATGGTCTGTTGTAAAGGATAAATGCAAGTACATATATATATATAAATTATTTAACCCATCGTTTCCATACGTTGTAGAATTCTTAGATGCGCCGTAGACTGATCAACTGTAGTCCTGAACATCAATGAGAAGATTCAAGTGAAACAATACCATGTGAATTTAAATTCACCCCATTGCACAAGCAAGTGGCTATCAGGACTCACTAGCTGAGTGGATAACACGATGGCGTTTGAAGCGGATGGTACTAGGTTCGAGTCGAAGAGTGAACATCAACTCTGAGATTTAGGTACATCCAGCCGATGAGTCCCGAACAGGCAGAACGCGCGTCAAACTGGATTCCACTGCTAGCCTTTATCCATCTTTGAGAATAATGTAGTTGTCTGGATTAAAGTTTACGATGTACTCTAAATTCTCCGGTATATTTATTAACACGGCAAAAATTGGTGAAGGTAAAAAATGGAGTATTTTTGTCTGTTGAATATGAGCATTGCTATCAAAATTTAATAAATCTATAAAAGGGTTCAAGACTGGTGCTTTTCATCAGTTTAAGAAACGGGGAAGTGACTGATACCACCAACTTTTTTATTGAATGAAACTAGGCTACTTTTAAATTAATTAAGTAGGCCAGATGACATTATAAATTTTGTAAGCCTTTTGTTTTACGTTTTGCTACTCGATTACAACAAATAATTAGTAAATTACTCATGAATTCAAATATTATACTCACTATTTCTGGATCAGCGGATTCTGTTATCAGCCAAACGGACAGTAATACAATAGAAAGTGCTAACAGAAGAATGTACTTGAAAAAAATGCAAAAATATATTCAATACAGGAGATAAATTACAATTATTTCTTCCTTGAACATAGAGTTCACATAATAAACTAGTCTTTAGGTTTACTCTTATTTAACCAATTCCAAAAGAACATTCACCTTAAACATGTTTGCTAAGCATGAAATACCTCTCAACCATAATCAAGACAAATTGTAAAACATAAACATCTAAGGGTCAAGAGTTACGTAATTGACTTACTAGACAACAACTTTTACCTTAGTAGACTATCATTTATTGAAGCGAAATTGTTCCAATAACAAAAGCGATTGTTTCAATGAGAGTAAATTTTCTATGTCATATGGTTGTTCATTCATCAGTTGCTTCGTGTTAGACATTTACTTAAGAAATTCTAATTATGTATTATAATGTAATTCCTTTAACAAACGATTTAAATACGGTGATTATCCTGAATACCTGATTTATTTAAGAATGTTTTGAGAATGTTTGCTGAATAACTTAAGAGAGGTTTGCTTTATATTATAAATGTCCTCTCTGAGAGAGAAATATATACATATTCTTCAGAAGAGATTCTAAACATCTCGGCTTAGATAAGAAGTGTTAAGTATTTTAGCAAAATGTTTACTATCAGAAGGGGTTTTTGTGGATATTGCAGTGACTTTAATAGTTGAGATCATGAGTCAATTGAAGCTAGATCACCATGAAAATCCTCAAAACACTGGATGGCCGTTTTGTCCTATTGTGGGACTCCTCAGCAGTGAGCATTCACGATTCCCCCTCGCGAGATTCGAACTTAGGACCTATCGATCTCGCGCGCGAATGCTTGAACTCTAGACCACCGAGCTGACCTGCATTCAACGGTGTTAATGTTTAACTTCAACTAATCCACGAAATCGAGTGACACATCCACCACTGTCATCAGTGAGTTACTATCTCACAACGGACCCGGTTGAACTCCCTTGGTGACGGCTGCTCACTAGAACTCTAAGAAATAACTCTTGAAGCCAGTCACTAGTGAGCATAGGTTGAATAATATTAGAAGGGTTTTTGTGGATATTATAGTATACTTAATAGTTTTCCATGGTGGTTTAGCTTCAGTTGACTCATGGTCTCGACAATTAAAAATGTTCATTCCAATTCTATTAGAAGAAAATATACTTTGTGAGATTTGTTTATCATAATAAATAATGAAAAAGAAAGAACACAGATCTACTTTTCCATTATTGTATAAGACTTTTAGGTGATGTTCACTCAGGCTGTTGTCAGGGTCTAAAATTGATAACTTAAGAACTAGCTGGTGAGTTCATGACACTTGGACCACCAAATTGACACTAAATGGACCATAATTTCAAATTCAGTAGATTGAAATCAACTTGATACACAGTATGGCTTGCGCATAGATGCATTATATAGCTAATAAAGTCAGAGTTGAGAATGTTTATTCGAATATGAGTTTCATTTTCGTTTGTAAAGTAAACATTAAATTTCGCTTATTATTAATATTAAGTTTTAGAATTTTAATATTGTGGCTTGTAGTAAGATTCACGAAAAGAGTTTAGTCCTGCATGAGAATCGTAATGTATCGTGATATTGATTTTCAACTATATCAAAATGACAAGCTCCAAATATCAGTCGCTGTTTCTATAGTTCAGCCATACTTATAACTAAAAGCTGAATCTAGGCACTCTTCTGGAGACTCATATAAGCTAACAAAGATTGATCACAATTAACTCCTAAATATTATTAAGGCAAAAATTCAAAACCTTTTCAAAAATATGCTTTAGTGGACAATCATCGTAACTCCACCTGTAGCTCTTCTAGGGTTAACGACGGTCCCAAGCTTGGATAAAAGAAGAGAGTTGAGCATGTGGTCAGCATCCATATCCAGTGGAAAATAACCTTGCTAAAAATACGCTAACCAGAATGTTCATAATAATATATAGTAGTTATAAAAAGGTATTTCACTTACAATGAAAATAATGACCTTGCTACGAAAACAAATTCCAACCATACCAAAACACAAAATTACCAAAAGTATTATGGTAACAATAAAAACTGCCAATGTTAGATGATCTGAAAACAAGAAAAACAAATAAAAAAAACAAGCTAACAATGATTGATTGCGTTCTTCTGTAACTTACACGAGTATCCAGGTCACACACTGACAACAAATCAAATCCTTGCTTCGAATTAAAACACTTAGTTTGAACCAAATTCTTATTATTGAATCAGAAATCATTTAAATAGTTGCTAACGTATAGCTTCAAGCACATTAATCAGTGTTTAGATGTTGTTTATCGCATTAATAAATTGATTAAACACCATACTGTGTTCTATTCAATTAAGATTTGATTGAAATCTGATTAGTCATTTATGTTAAAACGTAAATTTCTCATTTCAAACAAATCTACGTTTACTCTGAAGTTTTTTAGTGAGGTGTTTCAATCTAATAAATTGTGTTATGGTTAGTTATATTTATAGCGACTCACGTGTAAATGGGTTTATTCTCATTTAACTCAGTTAAGCCCTTTTGCTAGCTTATTTAGCGGACAAAGCCATCCGCACTATAACAATTTATTGTACCCTTATTATTATTTTGTGCTTGTATAAAATACGCATGCTTGAATATTGCTTACGGCCTACGCATTTATTCACTCTGCTAGTCTCCCTACTAACTGCTTATCTGATTCGATTACTCATTAATTTCACATGCTATATATATGTTCATGTTATTCATATGACTGACTCTGCTTTCTCGATCGCTTGATTGTACTCGATTGCTTACATTCGCTCAATCGCTCGCTTGCCGGTTTGCCGTTCGACACAACTCTTAATGCTCGTTTAATGCATCTGTAATTTTGGACATCTGTGTGTGTGGTCTCGAAATAAACGTAATCAACGCTTCGTATTCGCCTTCTGAATAATATACCGTTGGGGTTAAATAGGACGGTTATCAAGACGAATTGTATACGAAGTTTAAGGGATATATCGATTACCGACCACCACATATTGTTTAAATATCAGCCAGATACCACGGGCAACAGCCTTTTGTGGGAGAGGAAAAAACAGCTTCTTGTTGAAGAAGAAATCAGAAAAAGATGTTGGAAGTAGATAAGACATGCATTACGGAAATCATCAAACTGTATCACGAGGCAAGAGGTAACCTGGAATTCTGAGGCGAAACGGAAAAGAGGAAGGTCGAATAACAAACTACGTCGGAGATTGGAAGCAGACATGAAAAGGATGAACAGAAACAGGAAATCACTGGTAGGGATTGCTCAGGACAGGGTTGAATGAAGAGTGCTGGTGAGCGGCCTATGCTCTTAGACGAGGAGTAACAGGTGCGAGTCAGTAAGTAAGATTTTTTTAGGTAACAGTTATCAATCCACCAAAGAAAAAACAATCATTCGTCCCATCTAATAGTTTGTCAAGGCATTTTTTCATCTCCAAATAAAATTGCAGATAACGATACTTTATAGATGAATGTCGGTAGCCCGCTTACTATTGATCCGATCATTCGTGATAGATATTTCTTAAATTTTTAACTATGATATATACCAAAATAAACATTCAGTTGATTATTGATTTTATTTACACATAGAAAAGAAAGAACGGTGAAACTATAATTTATGAACGAACCATTCAGGTATAAAATAACAGGTTTCGGATTTTGGCGCGAAAATCAACTCATTCATTTGGCTAAATAGAGTTTTGGCATTTAAGATGATGTCAGTTCATGTTAAAAACACTAAATCTAATTTTTAACCTTAACCATCAACTATAAATCATAATTCTAATTTTTTTCACACTGGTTTATAATCTTCATTTGGTCTTAGTGGACACTCTCAAAGGTCGTCCATAAATTATAGTCTCATCGAAAGAACTAATATTAAGTTTATTTTCTCTTCATTTAGCATATACCTGTTGCTGAACGTATATGTTCTATCAATCTTTGAATGATTGTTTCATCAGCATTATTGTTTACTTGCTTTAATATTGGCAATAGTAATGATTTCATTATAAATTGAAAAGTGACATCACACCATTTCAATATACCAATAAATGCTGCGAAAATAGATAAAATGCACTGAAAACCATAAAGAAAAATATATAAAAGCTTCAATTAGTTAGTGTAATAAAATAATGTAACATAAAAAAAGGTATAAACATTCATTTTGTTTTGCACTTTCCATTAAAGGATTCATCAGATACATTTGTAATATTCTACAAAAGAAAAAAACTTTGATAAACTATGTAAATAGTTAATGTGAAGATACAATGATAAACAGTTTTGAGGTGCCTCCATGATATTAAAATTATATGAGGTATTTTATATTCACAAGAGGATTTTGTGGAGATTTTTAGTAATTCATTAGTTGAATTATTCATGAGTCAATTAAAGCTAGACCACCATGGAAAACCTGGAAGCATTGGATGGCCGTTTCGTCCTTATATGTTACTACTTAGTGGCAATCCCACTCGTTGGATTCGAACCCAGAACCTGTCGATATCACGCGTATATGCTTAGCCTCTAGAGAGATCATATTATCATTATTATCTGAGAGGATATAAGTTTTCTCATTGTCGATATTTAGAAGTACATTGTGATGAATATTTATTGGTTGATGTAGCATTTTATTACACGTCTTAGTATTATTAGATTGTGACTGACAGCGTAATCCAAAAGCAGAGTTATATCGCTTTTGTTATTAGTCAACTGGATATCCCCAAACAAACGGAGTATTTGACCCAAATTCTTTTTCAAGCCATATTCCATCAATTCCCAAATGAAACTTAGCAACATGGTTTATTTCATTTATTTCACTATCAGCTTCAGTGTTATCTTAAACTAGTTGAGCATAAACTAAGTTATTTATCCATTACTAGTGAATTTGACTAAGTCATAAAATAATTTCAAAATCTGACTAATAATAACTGTCGTGTCGTATGTCTCATCATGTGTTTTATGCACAGAAAAAGTGTGCCAAAGTCAGTCAGAAAAAAATAAAACGTTTATATCATTCATTATTCAGCGCTAATTAACCTTCTAAAACGGTTTTTTTCCTTTTTCTATTAAATATCAACATGATCATGGCAACTCACATGACGACTTCATAAAGAGAAAGAAAACATATGGAGTGGATATATGTATTGTATCTATCATAGGTTTAACATGATTCGTCGTCAAGTTTTGCTCTTCATGCGCTGAAAGACTGTGTGTCAGGTGAATAAATAAGTCAAACTCACATTCAAGAGACAGGGAAGCATTTCTTTCTAATATCAATTCACTAACAAACCTGAAAATCTATACTTAATAACAGTTACAAAATTACCTAATCGATTCATACCATTAGTCTACTTGAAGACTGTTTATTGAATTGGTCTAAATTAGAAAACAGAGAACTCTTCATTGATAGCTATTAGATGATATTTTTCTATCGGTTAGGCATATTAAGTGACATGGATCAAAATCAATTACAGTACTGAAGATCTATACATTTTCTATAGTTTTTCAGTTGATACTGTTTCACTCTTCTGTTTAAACCATTTTTTTAAAACTAAATCATGTTTATAGGTTTCATTCGTCATAGATTTATCTCAGTTCAGATATCACTGGGCTCCAGGAATACTGGACATCTGTTTCGTCGTTATACTAGACTCCTCGTGCGTACATATCCAAACTTGTATAGATGTTATTGATCATTAGTCTCTGTTTAAAGAAAACTTGTTGAGAAACATTTTTTGTGCGAGGGCCAAAATGTGATAATCGATTAATATGGTCACTTATGCTTAACTGGAGTTAATCAGAGTTTGTATACGGCTTAACAATGACACCGTTCTGATAGGCCATCAGTTTTATCAAAATTCTACAACATCTAAATTAATAATTGGTGCCATAGAAATGAAACGATGATTTAAAAGACTTATAGTAAATGGATCTAAATATATTAGTATAAGAACATAATACACAGAAATGTCATATCATTTGAATTAGTATTCACAATATGTTTTATTAGGTGACCTATTATACAACACAAGTTTAGACCATCTGACTGCAGGTTCCAACCCATCTACTATAATAAGGTCTATGCAATTTGGTAGTATCACAAAACGATATATACGAGTAGAGTAACTCAGATCTGATCTAATGAACTGACATTTCGGACGTCGCAGATGACTTCGTTCTTCTATCCTATACACACCCACAAATGCAGATAAAGTCAACCACTGTGGCAGTAGCCTCTACAGCAGTAGGCATCAGCATACACAAAATAAAAACGAGATCCTGAAAAACAACACGGAGAACACCAACCCAATCACACTCTATAGAGAAAGTCTGGAAGAGGTGAAACTTGGTCAGAATCATCGATCAACAAGGAGGATCTGATACAAGCGTAAAGCCAAGCATTGAAAAAGCAAGGGTAGCATTCTTATAACTGAAGAACATAAGGAACTCAGAATAACCGTCAGTCAACATAAAATTCAGAATCTTCAATTCGAACGTCAAGACAGTTCGACTGTATGGAGCTGAAACTTCAAGAACTACTACAACTACCATCAAAAAAGTACAAGTATTTATAAACAGCTGTCTACGAAAGACACTGAAAGTTCGTGAACCGGGGACCATCAGCAACAGCCTACTATGATAAAGAACAAACAAACTTCCAACTAAAGAAGAAAATAAGAAAAGTCGCTGGAGGTGAGCAGGACACACATTGAGAAAGTGACCGAACTGCATCATAAGGCAGCCCCTAACTTGCAATCCTGAAGTGTAAAGGAAAACATGTCAAACCAAGGAACATATTGCGTCAAGATTTGGAAGTAGACATGAAAGGAATGAACAGTAACTGGAAAGGATTGCCAATGAAAGAGTTTGATAGATAATACAGATGGACGGCCTATGCTCTTCCGCGAAGGGTAACAGGCGTAAGTAAGTATGTGAGTAATGTTCGATCTTCTGATCACGGTATTCTCCAACGTCTTAGTTTATATTCATTGATTCGAGATTATTCATAATTTCAACCATCGAGTAATCAAATTAAAATTTTTAATCAATAATTTCATAGTACTTTATAAAAACTTTCTGATCAACATACTCATCCTAATGATCAGATGCTAAAAGAATGAAATAGACTATCATTGTTCTTTTGGTATTTAGTATTTGAGAACAACAAAATACGATTGATATAACACTAGAAAAATGATGTGAACAACTTTGGATTTGAAAAAAAACCCAGCTGTTTGGGTTTCATTATGAAACTTGGAAGAAATTTACGTCTGAACCACCTAGATTTATTTATCCGAATTAATGCTAGAGATTTATGCTATATGTCTACTGTCAGATTTAAGGATTGGGCACTCGTACAAGAAAATCCACAGCTTAATCACAGAAACTGTTTTCTCCTGATCTGTATGATTATTTATTATGTAACTATTCCACACATTTTACTAACGTACTTTTGTTTATTTATCATTTATTAGTTTAGGACATTATATTAAATTACACATTTTCATCTTTGATGTACTTTGATAATCACTTACTATGTATTTACATCAGATCCTGAAATATGTGTCGATGAGTAATGATTTTGTTACTATTGTATAAGATATGTATCAATACAGGAATATGGTGGAAGGTTAATTTGAAAGAATGTCTTTCTTTGTTCTATTCTGTTTTCTTCTTCTAAATACCTAAACTGCAATTCATCCTTTTACTAAAACAATTCTGGATGTAGACCATTTACAAGCCAATAAATATCAGTACTATGTGTATTTATATAGAAATTAGTTCTTATTTTAATGATTTTCAGCAGTTCGTATGTTTTACATCACCAGACTAATCAAATTTATGTGGATGTTTGCATAAGTAGATTCAGTATAAGTAATAGTTATAACCAGAGAAAAATTTTGTGGATACTATAATAATTTTAATAGTTGAGATCATGAGTCAATTTAAACTAGATCACTATGGAAAACCTGGATTAGTTGAAGATGGGCATTAACACCGTTAGATGCCGGCCAGCTCAGTGGTCTGGAGGTTAAGCGATAGATCCTGGGTTGGAATCTCTCGAGGCGTGATCGTGGATGCGCACTGTCACGGAGGAGTCCCACAATAAGGCGAAACAGCCGTTCAGTGCTTCCAGGCTTTCCATGGTGGTCTAGTTTTAATTGAATCATTATTTCAACTATTAAAATTCTTAGTGATAAATACAAAAAATAATATCACAATTGTACTATACATAAATAAAAAGCTGAATTAGGTTATTAAAACAAAACTTACCATTAATATAGTACTAATAAATATGTGTAAACATACTGTCATAACACCCATTTCTTTATATACATCAACAATCACTCTAAAAGACAAAATTTCAAACGATTTCAAATGAATTTAATTAGGATAGCTGAAATATTTTTATAAAGTTAATTCAATATAAACTTAGCTATCACTATAATATAACATCACCATAAGAAATGAACACTATTTTCATTCTAGTTTTACACTTCATAACAGTATATACAGACTATTCTACACGGAATCCAATCCAAAACATTCAGGTCATGATATCAATGGGTTATTACTGAATAGTTAAATGTCACGGGTCACAGTTTCTCAGTTTATGATCTTCTCTTTAACTCGTTTTTACTGGAATACTTACAGTGGTATATTGTTCTATCATTTGATATTAATACAGTTTTATTAGATGATTAAGATCTGTGCTTATTCGGTTTTTTTTATATGTAGACAATGTAATCCGACACACTGGCATATAATTAAAGAATAATGCCATTTTAGTCTTGATATTCAAATGGAATGATTTACAACAAACAACTAGTCTGAAAATCAATCTGATTATAGATCCGTTATATCATAATGGTTTGAATTACTTTTCTGGTTAATATCTTTTTTAAAATAATTAGTTTTCTACGGGATGGCGTCGTTAACCCCATGCTCAACCCTCCTCTTTTTTCCAAGCTTGGGACTGGCAGTAGCCTCAGAGGGTGTCCAGGTGGACTAAATCCAAATAGTTAATCTTAACGAAGTTAATAGTGTAAATCATTGGTTCACATATTGACCACAATCCTTAAAAGAATCATGAATTTTCCCTACCAATAAGTTTCAAACTATAATAAAACTAGAAGCTAATACTTTCTAGTTTCTAATAGTTACCTGATTAAAGCCAATTCCTAAGGTTTACTATATTTGAAACCATTTCATTAGTTTATTTGTAATATCAATTAAATTTATTACTTATTCACTGATTCATAAATATTTAGATAAATTGTGGGTTAAATTAAAACTATCCTTATATTACTCCATAAACTGTTCGAGAACATTTCATGTCATTTCCGTAGAACTGCTATATTCATCTATAGAAATGTTATACAACGTAATTAATTATTTCTTTCACTTTCCTTATTCATTGAAGTAAAGGTGAGGAATTTTCGTTTTGTCACAAATGTTGTTAATAATAATAATAATGATAATTTGGTTACCTTCATCAATTTTTTATGTTTCCATATACAATTAATAATTAAAATTATGAACATAATAATAATAATAACAGTGGTTAGGATATTGTCAGTGGTCTAGATTCACCATAGTTGTTTCATGTTCTAACACACAGGTATACATATATAGAAATCTATGCCACGAATATATATGTATACTATATGAGGCGGAAACTTGGAGAACTACGAAAGCCATCGTCCAGAAGATACAAGTGTTTATTAACAACTATCTACGCAAAATACTTCGGGTCCGTTGGTCAGACACTATTAGCAATAATGTACTGCGAGAGAGAGAACAAACCAGATCCCAAAGGAGAAAGAAATCACGAAGAAGCGATGGAAGTGAATAAGATATACATTGAAGAAATCACCCAACTGCATCACAAAGCAATCTCTCACTTGGAATCCTCAAGGCCAAAGGAGAAAAGGAAGACCAAAAAACACGTTACTCCGAGAAATGGAGACAGACATGAGAAGAAAGAACAACAATTGGATAGAACTAGAAAAGAAGTCCCAGGAAATAGTGGGTTGGAGAATGCTGGTCGGCGGCCTATGCTCCAATGGGAGTAACTGGCTTAAATAAGTAATTACATAATCAGATAAGTAAACAAGTAAAAATTCCATACCAAATATACTTTAATTAAAATGTTTATTGTCAATAAATTACACTTACTGTTTGTCTTTTGAAGAAACAAAAAAACAAAATTATACTAAACTTTTAACGTTTAAACAATCAATCTGATTATCAACGTTTCCAAAGTAATAAACAAATAAAACTAATCGTTATTTAATTAATAGTAACAATTGTCTATATTAGAGTTTATCTAAGGTCATTTCATCAATATGTTAACAATTATCAAATAAAAACAAAAAAACGTAATTCACTACAGTGATTATGCAACAAATGACCTAGACATCTATGTATCGTTATCACAATTCAAATCTGATCATTGTATCAGTTGTCAATAAATAAGTCTTTGTCAACTTGTCCATTTTAAAAGGAATCATTGGATAGGTTAACTTACAATCTAATTAAGTAGTATATATATGTATATGTCTGTTTTTATTTGTTTAAAACTATGTTATGTGAAAACTAGTTCATCTAGTCAAAAACAAATCAGTTTCAAAAGACTAAGGGTATCTATAGGTGGTCTTCAATGTTCTACAATTTATTTATTTTTTATTTAGTGAAGTGGTTATCAGAGAGTTTATTAATTTCTATATAATTCTCATCACAGCTTAATATAAAAGTTGTATTTCTGTAAGAAGGATTTCTGATTAGTGTCAAGTTAGAATGAAAGACTTATCTAATGTTTGTTTAGTTAGTATAATATCTTATCTGATGATAAACTTTGTTTAAAATCTCTTTTCACATGAATCGAAATGTGAGATAACACATATGCTTGGCGACACTCTTATTTATGAACGAGCCAATCAGAGGCGTTTTAGAGATTTCAAGGTCACGGCGCCAACTTCAGTACTTAATGCTAACGTACGATCGGTTCACAGGGAATTTTGTACAAAACGTGATATTTGAGCAGCTATAACAAATAAAACGGCGAGACTATAATTTGTGGACGAATCAATCAGGTATAAGATGATAGATCTCGAATTTTAACGTGGAAGCCTTTCATCCATTTGGCTAAATAAATTTCTGGCATTATAGCTGATGTTAGTTCGTGGTGAAAACCCCATATATAATTCCTAATTAAGGCAAACTACGACAATTATTGCGAACTGCATAATAAAAGCACCAGTAACACTGACTGCAGCCAGGTACTACAATATGTACGGGTGTTTGGAGGGCGAACAGACTCCTACAAAGACTTGGTTATGTGCATCTTGTCGTTATCCACAAGTAGCATATTGTGCACTAAACAACCGGAGTGCACATAAACAATATTGAAGCTATGTGGTCGAGGCTGAAAGAGTTTTTGAGACTTTATCATGTTTCCAGAGGCCGACTATTCTGTAACCGTATGGATGATTTCCTCTACTTCATGCATTACGATTTTAGAACCTCTGAAACTCTTTCTAACCTTGACAAGTTTTCAAACCACGTATGAGAAGTGTATCTACCTTGCTTCCTTGATTTTATATAACATATTTTTACTCTATACTGACTGTTTGCTGATTAGCTAATATTTCTCAAGGTCACTTAAAATTTGTTCAATGGTCGTCCATAAATTAGAGTCTCGACAAATTCTTTTGATACAAAATAACACCCGCTAAAAAAACATTAACTCCTCTCTGTAGATTAACAGATAATGCGTTGTTGTTTTAAGATGGAAAATTTGAATATTGTTTGCTGAAGGTGATGTGTATATAATTGGATGTAATGAATTTTACAGTCATGTAATTTGTTTTATGGATGGATTTTCGTTTTATTTTCTTTACTGTTATGTTTTTCACTGTGGCTTATAGATAAGGCTGATATTGAAGATTTTTAAGATCTTTTCGTTTGTTTCTGAAATAATTTAAAAATATGGTAGCATGATCTGTTTTCAGATTTGCAGTTAAACGTGAATTGGAAGAGCGATGTTAATTTGCAATAACTTGTAGTGTGGCGTCGAGTCGCGGTTTACTATAATCACTACTACAGCACGACCACGTGTCAGTTAACCGATAAGACCCACCGCAGGCCAAATATCAGAAGGCAGTTGATGGCTGTAGTCGAGATGTATTTATTGACGATCTCGTGGTATCGAAAGAATACCGAGATCGTGCCAAAAGAGTACAAGTGTGGTTACTGAGCGTAACCAAATCCGTGAAGGGTCACAAGCAACCGAAGGAAGAATGTATGTGTTTTCGTACAGTTAAAAAAAACAAGTACAGTAAAACAATCCCTGGTACAATTGGTTATAGTAATAATTGTTCCCATTATACCAATTACGTTCTCTTGATAAAAGTAGGTCACTACACACTACAGTGATTAAGTTGTAAATTTCAGTTTAAAATATTGATATCCTCTGAAAACCTAAGGTCAGTAAGTTAATGGATTTCTAGAGAAAATGTAAATAAGGTCCTGAATTGCATGAGAATGTTTTTTGAGTAACTTTCTGTTAACTGTCTTGACTAGCTATTGTAATGAATATCAAATGAAAAATTAATAATTCTAGGAGAATTTTATTGTCAGTAAAGGGTTGTGGATATAGCTGAGCTTAGATTTATATCATGAATGGATCAATTTTAGACTACCATAGAAAACCTGGATGCACTGGACGGCCGTTTCGTCCTAATATCGGACTTCAGTGGTTGTCTAACATTGATCCACTCATAATATAAATCTAAGAGGACTTATTGTTTAAAAATGCAATGTACTCAAAGTGAACTTCTCATCCATGAGTTATTTGGTAAGGTGGCACGTGAATAAATTCATCAGTTTTTCACTACTTTTTAGTACAAAATCGTATAAAACTAGGAAACCAAAACCTCTAATGAACTGCCATTATGAGACGATTACTGGATTTCAGTAATAATTATCCAAAAGTCTAGTAGTCGCTATTATATTTGAAATTTGTGGATTTGTCATATTTTATGGTGATGACTCCTAACTATTCAAGAGTCCTTTACTCAAATAAAGCAGCTATTCCGTACTTACTGATTGTCATTTGTTTCAGATGTAAGTTGACAATGAACATTTTGTTACCAAAAATGGATAATTCTATAAACACAATTTTATTACTAGTAAGTAGTGTAAATCCATAACATAAATGTTTTGTGTCATATTGTATCCTCATCATTTGTAATGAAGTGGGTTGTAGGTTAAATACAGATTTTTCCACTCTATATTCTGGACAGTATGAAAGAAGATCTGGG